TCTAGTAAGTGCGGTTCAGCTAATATTTCTGTTCTCTTAACTACTTCTCTTACTTCAATTGCAGAATTGACGAAGACGTTCCTTTGGTCTTTTCTTACAGTGTGTATGTTTTTCAACACGTTCGCCATGCCTGTGACTGAAGTGACGTTTAAGATTTTAATGGACGTTATCTGTGTAAAACTGTTAAATTATTTATTAATGGATTTTGTTACCACAAATTACTTAAAACTTTTACAAACGGGATATCACATAATATGTTTAAGGTGATATTCTTTATAGAACTCGTAAACTTAGATACGACCCATGTTAACTCATTTACTAATTGGATAAACTTATTCTTAAGTGATTATAAACTTACCGTAGTTGGATCATTAAATATTGTCTTTTTCGGTACTAACATTTTTTTTTATAAATTGAAACATAACGTAATACGTATTTCTATACAGTTGTGAACACGTATGGTCCTACATCATGTCGATACTTGGCATTGCACAATGTTTTGCTTATAAAAAAGTAATCTCAGACTTTTTATGACATATTTACACTAAATCTGTTGGATGTGATTTATTTATTTGCTGTACATGACTTTGAACTAGCTTCAGTAATTGCGTATACCCTAGGATTGGTACGTTATGTCTTTTGACTATATGTAAATTGTTGGTTTTTTTGCCTCGTTCCAAGCTATCGAGTTAAGCCGTTCCCAACTGATTTATACAGCTTATTTTTACATTGTGATGTAACACCACTATTCCGAGTTGGGAAGGGTTGAGCGCTCACAAGCATCTTTAAACTCATCACAATCTTCATGTGCCTGTTCTAAGTCAGGAGCCTGTAATTCAGTGGTTGTCGTTGGTTGCTTTCTGTCATATTTTTTTTTTTTTGGTTTGTTGTTTTGTCATGAAACTGGCGATTAATTTTCTAGTTTGAATTGTAACAGTTTCACATTTTGTTATGAGCCTTTATGGCTGACTGTGTGCATTGTTGAGGGCTGTACGGTGACAAATGGTTGCTTACATCTACGTCATTTGGGCTCTTGTGGGGTGTTGTTGAATTTGATTTTTCGATTCGAGCGTATGATCAAATCAGGATTTATAATTACACAACGTTTTATTTTTGTTAATTTTTGTGTAAATGTCGTAAATTTTATCCTTTGGTCTTTATTGAGAAGTAATGATTGGTATTTTATAGAAGTTTTGTTTCAATTACGTCACATTCTGATTTTTTTTTATAGCGAAGGATTGAGTTGCCAGTAGACACGAGATCAATCATATTTAACCAAATGTTTTATATTTGTAACTGTATAATTTTTCTCTAAATCGTTCAACTAAAATAGTTTGAACCACAACTTTGTGTAAGGTTTTTGTAAAGTTATGGTCAGAAATGTAAAACAAAAATGTCAAATTAAGAAAGACAGACAGTCCCGTAACTCTGTAAAGGCTTATCAATTTCTTAAAACTAATAAAGACTTTTACGTCAGTTTTTCTTCAGGAATCTAGCATTGGTTTAGTTTTTGATTGGACCATTTAATAAAGTAAGATTGAGTTCTGTGGTCAAATTAGAGGTTTTAAGGGTTGGTGAACAATAATGACAAGCACCAGTAGATGTCATAATGGAATAAAAAGTATTCTTCCGTCTTCGACGGGCATGCAACAAATAGAGATGACTCGGTTTTTAAATTGTGTTATAGCTGACTTTAAGGTATGAGTTTTGCTCATTGTTGAAAGGCTATAGTTGTGTACACCATCGTCCTTTGATCTCATTTAGTTTTTTTTTTAATATGACAAATTAAAAGGTCTGTTTCCAGACAAAATTATAAGAAAAGTTAAAAACTTCTAAACTTGGTGAGGAAATATTTTCGAGGAAAAGTAAAATACCGTGGAAGATGTCATTCAATTTGGTTTAAAAACTGGCAAAAAGAATGGTGTTCAAAATGATATTTTCGTTTTACTTTTCAAACTGCATATGAAATTTCATCACGTAAAATTGCTTCGAAGAAAAATTTACCCAAGGTTACAATAGTTTATTTTCTGATTTTGGACATAAAACAAAATGACAGATCTGGTAAAATTATCCCCTAGGAACCGGAATAACTTACTTGGCTATCCATGACAGTCCAATGGACATGATACTGTTCTTCATTAGTTTAATCTAATATCCCTTAAATCGGAATGTTTTTTTTCAAAGTGAATTATTTTAAGCACCTAATGGATACCACTTAATGATTTATTCGAATATAATTATCACATGTGAGTGGTTTACTTTTTTCAAAGGAAAAGTTTTTGGATTGTCTAGACATTACTCTACTTCTGTCTCCTACCAAAATGTATGGACTGATATACTTGCATACACACAATATCATGTTTTTACATAAACGTAAGGCAAACCAATGACGTGATTATAGTTTTTATTTTTACATTATTAAATGGCTTTACAGATTTATAACTTTTCTGCATTCTGCTACTGAAGCATTTTGTTACTGGAAAACATATATTGTATCAATACAATACACAAAATCAATACGTACAGATAAAAAAAAAGTTGTATTGCTGTTTTACATCTCAAAGTCAGAGTGATGCTTAAACATGGAGCAAAATATTTCACCTCACTGCAAGTTCGAGAAGGTCTGATGCACCGGTTTGAGTTTGAGAGGAATTCTATTTTTATTTATTTATTTTTGTTGTTTAAACGCCACTTTCAGCACTATTGGCTATTTCGTGGTGGTCAGTTTTTTTGTTGAGAAAGCCGGAGTGTTCGGAGAGAACCACCGACCATCGGCCGGAAAACTGACAATACTTGTCAATTAAGATTGGAGTCGAACACATCTGCCTCGTGCGCGGATTTCGAATTCACAACCTCAGTATTGACAGGCTAGTGAGACAGTCGTTGAAGAGAGGAATTCTAGATATCGATAACGCTACAACTGTGTGTTTGAGAGCACAGTTGCGGAGTTATATCAACAAATTATAAAGTATATATGGCAAAGAAATATTGCAAATACTGTCATAAATTGCCCGACAATAACAAGTTGATAAATAGATAAACAATAAATACAAACGTTTAGTCAAAAACAGGACACAAAAAGTTACATTGATAATAATTCTTTACGATGTAGTTATAAACATTCTCTTTCAAATATTTTTTTTGGTTGACAGTTTGTGAAATTATCTAGGTCTTCTCTTTTTTTTTTCTTCGTCGTTCGGTTGTTGTACCATTGACAAGTATCCCATTTCATCATTCTGATATCGGAACATTCGATTCAAATGTGACAAAATCATGTAAAAGCAATAGTGAATCAAAATTGTCTGTAAAGTCATACATCATTTTGGATTGATCCAATGTGTTTTAAAAAACCTCCCAGTATGCAATCCAACTAAATTTTCATTAGTTCAAAAAGGAAAAGCCAATGATGTTAACAAATCAGCTATTTGCATAAAAAATACCAAATGATCTTTCAAATCAAATTAGTCCCTTCTTTTTCTTTTCGGTGATTTTGAAAATTGAAAAAAATTACTGAGTTTTACATACTCTGTTTCGTTTTTTTCTAAAGTTAATCCGTAACAAAAAGCGAGTTCAACGACCAATAATAGTAAACTATAACGAATTAATAACAACTGAGTTATATAAAAAGACAAATATCCACCAAAGTTAACGGTAGACAGCTCTCTAACAAGCAAAACCCCCATAACTGTAAAATATAAGAGCATACACCACAAGCACGGGGACACATTATACAGCATCCACACAGAACTAGCAACAAACCCTGCAATCAAGATAAAAATAAGGAGATGTGGTATTATTGCCAATGAGACAACTTATAAAAATAAGAAGATGTGGTATGATTGCCAATAAGACAAATCTCCACAAGAGACCAATTAACACAGAAATTAACAACTATAGGCCACCGTACGGTTTTCAACAATGAGTAAAACACATACCGCATTATCAGCTATAAAAGGCCCCGAAATGACAAATGTAAAACAATTCAAACGAGAAAACTAAACTTAAGCCGCTTTGTCCGACGAACATTAATTTTTACATCGAAAACCGAAAATCAAACAATTGCAAAAAAAATGTCATTATCTCAACCAACATATGTTTGAATATTTTATCGTCTCAACCAACATATGTTTGAATATTTCATCGTCCCAACCAACATAATGATGTTTGAATATTTCAGGTAGTGCTGTTTCAGATGAAAGACCTAAAATGTGAAAAAAAAACTTAAATTAAACAAAAAAAATATTGGATGGATAGTTGTCAAGTGGTTCCACATTGCGCTAACTACATATTCTGTTTTACTCATTACATCAATCTGTTTAGTAGCTTCGTAGTACAACACAATAAATATTGACAGGCTATACATCCACTTCATTTGAACTCTGATGGATAGTTGTCTCAGTGGCAATCATACCACATCTCCTGATTTTTATAGTTGATGAAAAATTACTATGAATATGTGCATGGTGACGGTATGTATCTTCCAATTGTAATTTTGTTTTCTTTCTAAATGTGCAGTAGCAGTTTATATACCAATAATCATTTTCTTGAAATGAACGCTACAAAGCAAAACAAATATTTGCATATTATTTTTTTTATTTCTTCATTGTATAATTTCTGTACAGATTCAGAATTTACATAATATTACATATAACATTTATATATATATATATATACAAAACACATTTTGTTTACATTCAAAACATGCAGTCATCTATGCGTTCAATATGCATTTGCAAACATTTAGTCACTGTTGTAAATTCATTTCTTAGTAAAATAAACATTGATATATTTTTTCTTTATTTTGTAATAGTTAAAATAAAATATATTGAATATAAATATATATAATTGTAATTTCAGGTTATTCAATATTTGTATAAAAAAAAGCTTTTTGCACCAATAAAGCCTAGAATTTCTATATACACATGTATAAGAGCTTAAGTATTTACAGTTTTATGTATGTACAATTGCAAAAATAAGTCAACAAATATAAATAGATAAAATCAACAATAATATGGCGGACACATTCCGTATGGATACGAGAAAGGCATGTACGGAGAAAAGTGTGGTGGAAGTCTATGTTGATAAGGCGGTGTCATTTGCATATGAGGTGACTGTTGATTCTGATTGTCAGACGTGTTGGCAGGTGACGTTGTCGACGACGTCGTTGATGCCGGAGAACTATTATTGACAGGTGTCGATGGCACTGTTTGTCCTGGTGTTCCGAAATGATGGCTAGGTACTGAATGAGGTCCAGGCGTTCCAACAGCCTGGCTTGGATAGAAAAATGGTCCCGGTACCATTTGTGCTGGTGATCCATGAAGCATTGGGTGATGATGTGGAACCAGACCATACGATCCATGCATAGGTGACATCATCGGTGACATCGGCGTCATGTAAGCTGGGTGTGGATTCTCTGCTGCACGTCTCCTCCATCTTGCACGCTTATTTTGAAACCAAACCTGAAAAAAAACGATTAAAGTATATTAAGTTAATTTCGCTAATACATGTTTAACATGTATCGTAATGATAAAGAATGAATTCTTCGATTGATTCGTCAATATGATTTATTGGTCTTTGTTTTTTTTCCTCGTACAGGTTTATTCTAAACAGGTCCGTAAGAAATTTAACAACAAAATGGAGGTCTTTCTTTAACTGATAGTTTTAAGCATACTATTTAGCTTTCTGCACTGTATTTTTTTTATACAAAGCATCATATTCATCAAACGTTTGTGAAATTTAGTTTTTTCAACGTGTGTTTTACAAAACAATTTCCTATACACCTCGGACTTTAACCTAAGCATTTTCATTTTGTCTTCCTGAATGTGCATGAAACATTTGTCACTGGACATTAAGCAAATAACAACAAATCACCCTAATCATTTTATAGTGAATCATTTTTTTTTTCAAATTATATAGTAGAAAAAAAAACGTAGGTACTTCAACAGAATTAAGAATGGAAACGGGGAATGTGTCAAAAAGACAACAACCCGTCCAAAAAGCAACCAAATTCCAGATTTTCTAGATTGCAATTGTACATACCTTAATTTTAGCCTCGGGAATATTAAGATCACTTGCCAACTTCTCCATCGTCTCTGGCTCAGGGTAAGGATTTTCATGGAATATTTTCTCTAATGCTTGAACTTGACTTGGTGTATAGTTTGTTCTGACCTTCTTCTTGACACTGCTGTCTGACGATAGTGGACTATGTGTCGAGTTGGATGCTGGAGATGAATTATTACTGCTTCCGGTTGATGGAGATTCAAGTGCTGATGTATTATTGGTAGACATGGATGAATCTATTTCTCGGGAATTGCCTGGTGATTTACAATCATTTACCACGTCAATTTCATCTGAAAGTATTTAAAAGATAGTATCAAATACAATATGTTCAGGACGAACCAATCTTCTACGCATATGAGTTTCTAAATGTGTTTCCACTGATGGGTTTTAGCTTTCTTATAAAATGAAAATTCAAAGAACAAAACCAAATTAAATGTGCAATAGATATCGAGGGAAATTTCCCAAGACAAATCTTATCAACGAGTGATTTATCAAAACTTATAAAAATGGTCAGAAGTTTGAATGAACACAGAATTAAAGAAAAAAATCAACCATTCGGGTAAAATATAAATTGGCAAAGAAATAGAGATTACAAAATATAATACCTTCTTCACACGATCTGTCCGATTCTCCATCTGATGGACTGTTTTTCCTGTTAGGATGTTTCAGCAAATGTCTGGTTGGTGGTGTTTGATATGCTGTCATGATTGGTCCACTTATACGACTTGGTGTAATAAAAGTCGTACTTGGTGGGGTTTTTGGTCTGTTCTGTGACGCCATTAAATATTGCATGCTATGATTTGTCTGCTGTCTTGCCGGTTCCTGAGAATGTTCAACGTTATAAGGTTGAATATATCTTTGAACTGGTGGATGGAAAGCCGTCATTTTCTCTCGTGAAGTTTCTGTGGGTGTTGGTATCTCCAAATGTATTTGTGGAATAGGTCTGTTGTCAACTTGTTCAGTTGGCATTATGACTTTTTCGCCTTGGCTATTATTGTCATTACAGGGATACTGCAAAATCTGAAATATTATAGACAGTGTTAAAAATCTATGGTATATATATGACAATCCTCCTAAGCTCTATTCTTATGAAAAGAAAACGACATCATCTTAATAATGACCAGGGGTGTATTTGGGATTTTTGAAAGTTGGCGTAATTTCCGAAAACTACACATGTATTTACTACCGCGCGGAGAGAATCGAATTATTTTTTTTGGACAATTTACTAGTAACAATTATATAGTTTCAAACTAAGGGGGCGGGGCGTACGTCCTCTCCCCAACAAACACCATGAATCCGCTAATAATGATACTCTATAGTTTCTGGATTTGGTTCAAATGAAACAATTTCGAACTCCTTTTAAGTATTATTTTAAAAATCATTAATGCATTTAGCACACCCTTTTTGCGGAATTAACAAACTCTAAAAAATATATAGCCTTAAATGTAAAAAGTTGGAAGACAATAAAGAATTGTTAACTAGGGTAGATACCTCTGCTAGTGGGCATTTTTGAAACTCGCAGTGCTAACACAAAAGAAATAATTTGAAATTGAGGAGTGCACCTCCCTCTGTTCCAATTAAAACTGTTACCCTTTTATTTTCTTAGCTTATAAATGTAGGTAAACATTTGCTATTTCTTTGCATCAAGTTCACGTTATGTTATATGTTGAGTAGGAGGACCTCAGTCAACCAAATGATCATAATAAACACTAGTGTGAAGTGGGCTGTTATCGACGGCTAGCTTCACACTAGTGTAATAACCTTTTAGGTATATGATAGCTAAATTGGATGTGCATTTCAGTGCAAAATCTTTTTTTTATAATATTCCAACATTTGTTAAGCAACTTTCAGAAACTGAATAAGATATTAGTTCGTCCCTGTGAAACTTCCATCTTTCGAGGGACCAATCTCAAAAAAAAAAATATGCGGTCAATTTTAAATATTAAAAAAATCAATATTTAAATAAATAGTTTTTACAATCTTTAATTCATAGTTTGGGTTTTGCATCAAATATCTAAAGTAATTTAAACATTTTCATTAAAATAAGTAAAAAGGCAAACCTAAACGAAATAAGTAATGACGGTTTAAAGTCATAATAGCACAAACCTTTTCCTGCATGTTGATTAACTATTTCTTTCTCTGCTTGTAATTTCTGTTTCAAATTTGAATAATAATTGTTGAATAGAGGCACACTCAAGTTTATATACTAAAACTGTGTGACCTTTTGACATTCACGAGTAAATAAGGGAAAGTTTGAGTTGAACATTTCGTGGTTGATTACTTTCTCACATTCGTTGATTACTGTTCAAGCTAAATCATCAACTGTATTGTCCTTTTGCAAACTCTTTTGTTTGTGAAAACTAGCAACTCACACTTTTCTGAATCGGTGACTTGATTGTACCATAATAAAGTAATTAAACGTTAATCAAATTAGATAAACATAATTTAAATAAAATAAAACAAATCAAGAAATAATTGTTCGTAAATGAAACTGTATTGGTTAAAATTAAAACTTGTATTTATTGTCTTTTACTAATTGTTTTCACTCGATGTTAATTTCTTTAAAAAAAATTAAAAATTGTATGGGCTCAAAATATTTTTCAAAAGGTTGACACAAATTAGATATAAAAAAAAACCAAAGTCATTTTCCATTTCTAAAATACAATTAGACTATCAAATTATTCTTGGAGATATTTTATTGTTAGAATGTCAAAATACATGGTGAATTAAAATTAAATATGAAAAAGAAGGTAAAGCTACACTCCAAAATATTTGAATCGTTCACCAAGTTAATATATAAATGAAAATATATACTGAGTGAAAAAAGTTTAGCAACATATAGATCTAAAAAGTTGCGGAGATAAATTTTTATTTTTTTGTCGATTATGAATTGCATCTTATGGGTTATTTTCTTTTTCACAATAATTTATATAATTTATCGTTATGTTTAGAAGTACATTAATTTTTGAAATATGACATCAATTGTATTTGCTGCTACACTTTTTTTTTGTATATATATAGTTAGTCGAATTTCCATAATAAAAAAGCAAATGTGGAGCTTTTTCTTTCCCACCGTAGATATTATAGCAGTATCGTTAGCCTTCAAAAACTAGTGGCTATTATTTGGTTCTGAGACAGTGCACATGTATATATGATTGATTGATTTTGAATACAAGCATTATTTTTATAAAAACAAAAAGGAAAAAGATAAATCAGTACAAATCGTTTTACTGAAAAGCAATAAAAAAAGAAAAGTCAATATTATTGGTTTTGGAAATAATTTGTTTTACGTGGTATGATTGCGAATGAGGCAACTATCCAACGGAGTCCAAATAATAACGGATTTAAGGAATTATAGATCCGCATACGGACTTCAACAATAAGCAAAACCCATAACATAAAAGGTTCCGACATAACAAAATGTGAAACAATTCAAACGAAAAAAAAAGAAAAAAACAACGGCCTGATTTATAACAGAGCAATAAACGAAAAACAAATATGACAGACAGCAACCAACGACAACCACTGTATTACATACTCCTGACTATGGATTAAAATTGAGAATGGAAATGGGGAATGTGTCAAAGAGACAACAACCCGACCATAGATCAGACAACGGCCGAAGGCCACCAATGGGTCTTCAATGCAGCGAGAAACTCCCGCACCCGGAGGCGTCCTTCAGCTGGCCCCTAAACAAATATGTATACTAGTTCAGTGATAATGGACGCCATACTAAACTCCAAATTATACACAAGAAACTAAAATTAAAAATGATACAAGACTAAAAAAGGCCAGAGGCTCCTGATTTGGGACAGGCGCAAAAATGCGGCGGGGTTAAACATGTTTTTTTGAGATCTCAACCCTTCCCCTATACCTCTAGCCAATGTAGAAAAAACAAACGTACAACAGTACGCACAGTAAAACTCAGTTCAAGAGAAGTCCGAGTCCGATGTCAGAATAAGAAACAAAAGAAAATAAACAAAATGACAATAATACATAAATAACAACAGACTACTAGCAGTTACTGACATGCCAGCTCCAGACCTCAATTAAACTGATTGAAAGATTATGTCTTCATCATATGAATATCAGGCACAATCCCTCCTGTTAGGGGTTTAGTATTATACCGTCTTTGCTGACTTTAGTATTTGGTAGCAATTTGAAAACAAATTTGCAATATAGTGTGTTTATATCTTTTCATATAATCAAGTCTTAATTGAAAACAACGTTCAAACCTATGATTGCGTTGGATAAAAACCGCATTTTTTATACGTGTGCATGCAAAACAAATTTCTTGGTAGAGAGGTCTAAATACAGCACTAACAACATTTTCCAAAAGACCAAAAAAGTGAAAAAGTATATTTTAACAAAACGCATTTGACTAGCAGGTCGAACAACGGATGTTCTTAAACCCTGCTGACTGCCATATAATCATATATATATATGTATATATTCTTTGGAATTAACGCTGACTTGAAAGATGCTTTAACATATAAACATGTAAAGTGCTTAGTTTCTTTTTGGTGGTAATCAGGATCACGTTTGGAATATTTGAAGGCCAAGTTGTTTTGAATTCAGCTCTTTCTATGTTTACCTTTGGTTCTTATTAGGCAACAGATAATTACTTGTAATATGAAATGGAGAGGCTAACGCATAGTCTGTGTTGGGTTTAAATTGTGGTATGAATAAGATAAAATATCACAGATTCGTTACACAAATAAAGATTATATAAACATGTATCTTTGTCTGAAAAATAAACTCGAAGATGGATAAAAGGGGATCGAATGTAGAACCCATTGAGACAGCAACCACCAAGACCGAAAACACAATACACATATAGAGGTCAACCTACGCTCTTCAACCAATCATAGAGAAGTGTCTATACGAAAGGAAATTTTTAAAATCGCTCAGACATTTGAAAACTTTGGAAAATATTAAACACAGACCATCAAAGATCTGCCATTTATTAATACAAAATTCCATAAATACAATGTACTGATTAGATGGATATGTTTCAATTGTTGTCATCATAATCTCGTCCTCTTTTCCTTAAATGTGACATCACCAAATTAAACTTTTCACCGAGTTTTTATATCATCTAGGTCCAGTCTGTGGTTAAGTTTTTTTTTAGACATCAATAACCTTGTTAAAATCTTTATGGAATTTTATGAAACTTGGACTGAAGCTTTTCATGATTTAATGAGACTCAGAGTATCTAGAGCAAAATTTTTATTTTGTTTTTATTTTTTGGTATTTTGATGATAAATAGACTTATGTATTTTGCAGTCAACATTTAGATAAAGTCTAAGGTTAAAGTTTTGCACGCACCTGTATCTTCGTTAAACCTTTATGGAATTTTATGAATCTTGGACAGAAGCTTTTTTATGATCAAAATTTGGTATCCAGAACAACATGTTGACAATATTGTCCATTTTCCGTAATTTACTGATAAATGGACTTTATTTTTTTGCAGTTAGAATTTAGATACAGTCTAAAGTTATAAAGTTTTTCCCTATTCAATATCTTTGACAAACCTTCATGGAATTTAACATAACGTGGACAGATCCTTCTCCATGATAGAAAAAAAAAACAGTATCCAGAGCAAAATGAAGAATTTATTTTCTCCTTTTCCCGTGTTTTATTGATAAATGGACCTAGTTTTTTATACTTAACATTTATATACAGTCTGTGGTAATTTCTAAACTTGAATATACCGCTTCTTCTTGAGTCAGAGACAGCATTTAGGGCAACATTTCAATGTATTGTTTTTTGAATTTTTTTTTCATATTTTACTGATAAATTGACTTAGTTTTATTTCGCAGTTAACAATTAGATTCAGTTAGTTTTGCAGTTAACCTAAAGAAACAGTGCGATGCGTTTTGTGTTCGTACCGACAGACAAAGCAGCCAACATTTTGGATATACGGTATCCTAATTTATTCGCTGATGTTTTAGAGCTTGTAAACTTAGATACAATCCAAGTATATATTCTCTATTCCGAAAGCAATACAGCT